AATGATGATAATGATCAATGAATAAATAACTGAAATAAAAGTAAGAGAGCATATGATGACAACCAGGCATGTACCTTTTTGCCTATCTTGTGTGCACGGACATTGCCCATTTTTCTGGGGTGGCAAAAATGTAAGGGGGGGGGAGGAGAGAGCAGAACTAGGATAAACACATGATATATGGTATGACTGAATATGCTCAAAACCATTTCTAATCTGGCTGTACCATTACAGGCAATAAAATTCCATACAACTTGAAAGCATGTATTTAGAAAAAATTCATCTTTTTAGCATTTTATTGAAGTTTATGCATTTTTCTTCTTTTTTTTACCGGCATTCAGTGCACAATTTTTTTTTTTTTTTCTGGGGGGGGCACCTCTGCCACTTTTGAATATCCCCAAAAGCCTTAGTCTCAGAAAATGGGCAATATAAATACACCATAGCACAACTTTAAGAAAATCTGCAAGGCTGAATTTTCTTAAGAGCAATTTACAATTCCCCCACACCGGACGGTCCCCTTAATGCATAGTGAACATGTGGCATAGAAATAGAATAGGGGGAAAAGAACACAAAATATACATGAAGGAAAAGGATCACAAAGGATTAAAAGGGGAAAAGAAAGAACAAAGGAAACTGACTGAGGAAAAAAGGAGAGAGGAGATACGAATGGATACAAGACGAAACGAAGAGAGAAGAAAGAACGATACGGAGAGGAGTCTAGAAGAAATTAATAGAGCATGAGAAGGAAAGAGATATGGAGACGAAACAAGAGCTAATAGGGCCAAACTAATCATATAAAGTGTGTAAAGGCACTAACTAATAGGCAGATTCAGATCCTAAAAACATATAAGTTTTGGTGTTAATGAAATGCATATTCTATATATCTAAGCAAAATGGTATTTCTGCTTAAACGTGCCTTAAATGTGTGTCTGTGGATATGCATGTATGGAAGTGTTTTTTGTATGTATACCCATTTATCTGCTTGTGAAAACATTCTAACGAAAGATGAAAATAATCAATAAAATCATTACAGGCATGATCTTTCCTACATATTACATACAGTACATTACATTTTGTTATGATTCATATCTGGAGGCTTCTAAGCTCTAAAAAAGCTTATTTTGCACTACACACCATCTCTACATGAAACATAATTTTTATATTATGTTTCTAAATATCTACTGTTGCCTAAACATCTTATTACAAGCAAATTTTGAATCTGCAGGAGATATGTTCCAAAAATATATACAACTGACTTTTAAAAATATAAATATTGAAAAAGAAAGAAAAGATCTCATTCATAGCAGCTATTACGTTTCCTGCTATCCACTTCAGTTTTGTTCTCTAAGAAATGGGCAAAGGAACATTTCCTTTTCTTCACAAGCAAACAAAAAAGAAAAATGTGGACATCTGAATACGGACAAAATTTTGTTCTCCTTCATATTTTCTAAACAGGATTTGAATTTGCAATAAAGAGCTCCTACACACCATTCATTCTGAATGCATATGTTTTGTTACTTTTATTAACTTCTGACACACATCCATACAATTCCTCTTGATTCTAGTACATTCAACCTTCTTCATTACACCAAAACATCCTAGGGGTAAAAGTTCTTCATACTCATTCTGTGAATTTTATCAAGTACTGTTTGACAGTCCAAAGAAATGCCACTGTTCATGGAACAGGAGGTGAACACCTGATATATCTGGATCACTTGAAATTTTAATCAATGTAAAAAATCACTTTACATGACTATTTGTGTATTTTTTTTTACTATTTGGCAGAACTTAAGTTCATGAAAACTAGCACCAGATGTCAATTTGTAATCTGTTTACATGCATATACAGATTTTAAATAAAGGTCATTACTTTGACAGAAAACAAGGATTCAGCTGTAGTGATTTTCTTAAACATAAATTCTGGCCAGACAGATTTTTTAACACCTGCTCCTTCCCAACACGTAGTCAAGATTCCTAAAGCCTAGTGAATGCTGTGTGAAAAAATATGTAGACCTATTTTTCTTTATATCTTTGATTTGCCCAAATATATCTTCTAATGAAAAAAAAATCATATACCTTTCTCTGAATCATACTAACTCTTAAATGTACAACAGCCACACTAACCTTACATGCTAAAATCACTCTGCAAGAGTTTCTTTAGCCATCTTGTTTAAACAAAAGCCATTATATATAAAAATCAACAACTATATCTTTGCTATTACTGTAAATAGTACAATAAACATATAATAATAATGAATCTCATGGTGTTTTATATACAATACTTATTTGTCTTAATGTATTTGTGATTGTGTGCACATCTGCATATATATAGTTTTTTTGTGTGTGTGTGTGTGTGTGTGTGTGTGTGTGTGTGTGTGTGTGTGTGTGTGTGTGTGTGTGTGTGTGTGTGTGTGTGTGTGTGTGTGAGAGAGAGAGAGAGAGAGAGAGAGAGAGAGAGAGAGAGAGAGAGAGAGAGAGAGAGAGAGAGAGAGTGTGCATGTGCGTGTGCGTGTGCGTGTGCGTGTGCGTGTGCGTGTGCGTGTGCGTGTGCGTGTGCGTGTGCGTGTGAGTGCGAGTGCGAGTGTGAGTGTGAGTGTGAGTGTGTGTGAGTGTGAGTGTGTGTGTGCGTGTGCGTATATGTGTGTGCGTGTGCGTATATGTGTGTGCGTGTGCACATGTATGTGTGTGTGTGTGCGTGTGCACATGTATGTGTGTGTGTGTGCACATGTGTAATATATATATATAAAATATTCAAAATCTCTCACACACACAGACACACACATACACACACACACACACACACACACACACACACACACACACACACACACACACACACACACACACACACACATACACACACACACACACAAAAGATAAAAAAAAAAAAAATTGATAATCAATAACATTTACAAATAGCGACAGGCAAACATAAACAGCCACTCACAAATAGTCACACAAGTAGAAGCACACACAAGAACTTACACAGCCATATTCACACACACACACACACACACACACACACACACGCACACGCACACGCACACACACACACACACACACACACACACACACACACACACACACACACACAAAAAAAAAAATAATAATAATAATAAATAAATGAATAAATAAGAAAGAACCCCTGCAAATTACAACTGTATAGTGTACAGTAAGGGTGGCAGTTGGGGGGGAGGTGTACGCTTTCGCCTTAATCAAAATTACAGCATGGAAGAGTAAACCACATGTAAAATATGTGCATTTTTTCCTCATTATCACTTTTTCTAAAAAAGCAATAATCATTCAGCCACTTAATTATACGTATGTCCCTAATCATGTGTTTATCTGTTTTTTCTCCGTCACTGGCTTTCAGGAAGGAAAAATTTGAATAATGGCACATCAGCAAGCGAATATCACTAAATCAATATACTGAAATTTACTAGAAAATAATACCCTTCTCTTACATATTTTCTTTGAGTAAAAAATATATTACGCAAGGCTGCCACCATGACAGCCTTTTCTAAAACTGATTTGTGCTCAAACTAGATAAGTATTGATGCATATTTATTTTCAGTACAGTCAAGTACTATAATGCCAGACTAATAAAAAAAAAACTCACGTATGTAAATAAAATACATATCAAACATATATATAAACAATACTTTTCTTTACAATTCTACATCATAAAATCAACAGAAGCTATACACGTAATGTGCAACATGACACTAAAAAAAGAGACGGCACAAAAGCTCAACTTTTTCCAATTAGCTTTTTTTTCATTTTCTTTTTCTCTTCATAAAAATACCAAGCAAATAAATACAGAAGAAATTAAAAAAAGAAAAAAAAAAAGACCTGCACAACATCTCTGCACCACTCCACCATCTTTCCAATTTCTTCTTTTCTTGATTTTCTTTACTATCACCTTTTCCTCCGATGCAATTCACACATCCCCACCCTCTCAAAGAAATTTCTGCTACTTTGTAACATCATTCTCATCTGTTCCTTGGCAAACCATTCACCGTCCTTATCACCAGCTCACTAATTTCTGCTCACCAACAAAGGCCCTGTTTACATCAGGCAGTCTGCCACTCCCTCCTCAAAAACATAAAACATCAAATAAAAATCTCACTACCTCTTGAACGTAATCTCCCAAATAGGGCAAGTAGGACTAACCATTACATGAAATAACCTATCCGTCTATAATCTTATGTTTCTAAAATGAAATTAGGATCCTTTAAAAGTAATTTCTCTTACAAGAAGTAATGAAAAAAAAAAAAAAAAAAGCAAAACAAATTACAAGTAAAAAAATAAATAGAAAAGTGAGCATGATTCAACCTCAATCATCCCTTTCCTTTCCTTCAGATTAGCAAATATAAATAATATCACCAAAGAAACTCAACAAAATTCATCTATATCCATGAGGAACACTAGAACACAAATTTTTTTGCCGTCTTCCACCTTCAAATGGGTAAATGTTATTTACAAAGTGTGGTCACATTACAGGCTATTTCCCAGTCAGTATTTAAGTTAAAATAACAAAAAAAAAAAAAAAAAAAAATTCTCCATCTACCCTGTGAACACATATCAAACACTTAGCAGAGTTGAGGAAAGAACGTATTATCCCATGTTTTTAACTACAGCCTTTTAAAGTCTGGCACCCAGCATTTTACAGCAGATGCAAGCTTCGCACAGAGCAAACTAGCTAACGTTTACCCATGATTTCTAGATGGTGGTGGTTGTAGCAGGGCTCGTTGGAGCAATGGGAGGCACAGCTGGGGAAGGGGAGGTGGTTAAGATGGCAGAGGGAACAGCAGTTGACGGGGCTGTGGGAGGGGCTAGTGGAGAGCTTCCGGCAGCTTTTACATCAACATAGGGTGGAGGAGCTTCAGCACTCGAGTCCCTCCGCGGTGGGGAAAGCATCTCCTGGCGGTCACGGTCCCGCTCACGGCCCGGTCTGTAGGCTTCTAATAGGGCATCAACTCTGTCTGGGGTAGGGCCCCAGCGGGAAAACCCGGCATCATTCTGAAGCCAGACAGCAACTGTTCCGTGGGCACTCTTCAACACTACCTCAGACCTAAAGGAAGAAAAATTGTCCATTAAAGAATAAAATGCAATATCTGATTTCCTTTTCTAACAATCTGTCTATTGATTCATCCTCTCTACAGACTTCATCTTCTAGAATACTGAACTGAAAATCAAAAGAATATTTTGCTTTATGCCTTTTTTCTCAATAAATATCCAACCACATACACAAAAGGATACTTACTTTGACATGAAGTGTTGGAAACCATGTCTGTATTCATGTTCAAGTGGAAGTAGAACAACTTGCTTTCTGTTAAATCTGAAATTATATTCATATTAAAGTTAATCTGTTTTTCATAGTATGTTGATACACTCCACCAAAAGCTTTCTTTTGTTTACTTTTCTTATTTTCTAAAAGTAGATACATCATATATCATCATTTTAAAGGTGTAAAATAAATACAGAAAGAATGCTTATGCTAATAAAGAAACCAATTAAAACATAACTCACCTGGAGGCTTCCAAGTGCAGGAGAGCAGAGGGAGCTGGCTCCCTCCACTCTGGTACAAACACAATGAAGGAGAGCGGTTCATGCGACTCCGACAACAGTTTCTCGAAGTGACGCACAGTTGCTTCCATTAGTTCTTCACAGAATGGAGGGTTGGCCTCAAAGGAACCGAAAACTGGTTTGAAGTCTAAAATTGGTCTGAGGAGAAAGTAAACATATAAATATTTTAAATGAAGTAAGATCAAAAAGAAAATTGTACATCTTTTAACGTTTTGTACCCATTTCTATTTTTCCTAATATCTTGTATCAATGTGCACGACACTGATATATAATATATCAAACCAGTGCCATCATGCACAGTACATACATACATCACATGCTCACAGTGAGTTTCATCTATGAATTGTATTCACACATATATGATTTCACAAGTGTTTGGTCATCAAATAAGTCAATCACTAGTCTGACCTACCTCACCTGTTTACCTTTTTTTTGGAAATTATTTGATTTTATATAGCTATTAATAATGTTCATAACACTGTAATAATGCAAAAGCAAAAAATAATATAATATTCATACTAAAAATAGTAACATAAAAAAAAATTCTGAAGCCACAAGGAAGAGGAACACCAGGTAAGGTCACAAAGCCTACTAACTGACTAACTGACGGCTGAGGATTTATGGAGCCATCCCTGCGTAGATTTCACAAAACAATACTACAGTGAATATTATATTTTTGTGGGGGCACTGGGTTAAGATTCCATTTGTAATAACATGCAGTTCACCTGTACTTTCAGAGTATACAGTATTTTGTATACCAAACCCTAGTATAATGAGTAATATTCAGTTTTTAACCCATTCGTGATGGGCATGTCACATATGTCCATGCCATACTCACTGTGAGTTTATTTGTTTAATTGTTTTTACACATAGATGACTACACTTGTACTAAATCACCAATGAGCCAATTACAAGTACTGCCTATCTTGCCTGTTTACCCTTATTTGATTTAAGAAAATATTTTATATTATCTAATTTTGTTATTAATAATGTTTACAACATTATAGTAATTATACTGTTTATAATAAAAATAACACCATCGATATTCATAGCACTAGTAAAAAATACATTTTCCCACCAATTCAAGGAAAGATGAAATCAGGTAAGGCAGAGCCATCTATGTGTAGAGACATTTCACAAAAAATATAAAAAATGAGCACAGCATTTTCCCCATTTTTTATTCATTTTCCCCAGCAGCAATGGGTTAATACTATTCTATCCATTTATAAGATTATGGTCTTGACAAACAGTTCAGAAGGATGGAATAATATGTGAGTATAATAAAAAAAGAAAAATTTCAAAAGCAGATCTATTTAGCAGTTCTATTCTATGTAGAAAAATGGCAAGTTTCTCTATTAAACCAAAATAAAAAGATATATAACAAAAGATATAACAAGAGAAATTTGTTCATCCTTTATCGTTGTGTAAACTCACCCTCTTGATCCAAAGTAAGAGTCTGTGTCTGGGAAAGCAGAACAGAATTGTCTGAAATAACAGTTCAGTGGAGATGCAAAGCACTCGAAAGTAACACCAAAGTGTTTGTGTAGGCACTCCAGAACTGTCACTGGTAGTCCTGCTTGTGTCCCATGGCCCTGGGAAAATGCAGGGGGATAAAAATTAGTATAATGGTAGAAGAAAAAATTATAGTTGCTTTATTAAAGATAATAAATTGCGATAATACTGATATATGAAAAAATACCTCCCCCCCCAAATCCCTCAACAAATGGTACATTACAATGTTCTTTGTTTACACAAGAATTGATCACTATCAAATCAGCTGTCGCAAAACTAGTAACTATATTTCAACTATCATAGTAAGACATAAAATAATTTCCTTTAAATGCAGAAATATGAAGAAAAAAAGAATTACCACACCAAAATTACTTTTTTCTGTTTGAAGTATATGTAATGATCTTTTCTTAGTGTACTTGCACACTTTTGTATATCTGTTTATATGCCAATGCTTCTATAAGCAGCTGTGTGTGAATAGGCTAGTACCTATACAACATATTATTGCCAGTGTGTGACCACAATTCTTAAATTTACGCGAGAGGAATTCTGCTCCAACACCAGCCAGAACATAAGAAGTCCACTCCCAACAAGCAAACTAATGCAAACTTACCTCGTTAGGGCTGGTCCCGAGGAGGGTTTGGTATCTTTTCAATAAACACCATACTCTAGGCAAAAATAATTCAAATTTGCGGTCATCAAAACAGTTGTAACGATATAACTGCTCCTGTTGGGGGAAAAAAAGAGGCATTAGAAGTATCTTACTATTCTGTTATCTGAAAACTAAGCACATCCACAGAGGGTATGTCATTTACCTGCCTAATCTGTCATTCCAAGATTTTATATACAACTTAATGTCTACTTTTTACAATTAGCTCATTGCCTCCTGGTGGCTTGAATCTCATGCCATCTTAGATATAGATATATAGCCATATTGTTCAAATCAGGTAAATACACAAAAGCATACACATACATTCATACATAAATACAAGAATACATATATACATATAAATAAACTAACTGAACAACAAACAGACAGACAGACACAGACAGACAGACAGACAGACAGACAGACAGACAGACAGACAGACAGACAGAGACAGACAGACAGACAGACAGACAGACAGACAGACAGACAGACAGACAGACAGACAGACAGACAGACAGACAGACAGACAGACACACACACACACACACACACACACACACACACACACACACACACACACACACACACACACAAAGATATATACATTAACAAAAATACTGTCTCTACTTACCAATTTATGAAAGTACTGTGTGTTGATTCTGAGAGCTTCCCCATTATATCTTAAACAGGTTGTATCTTTGTCTTGCATAAAGTCAATCGGAGGCGGCCGAGGACTAGGTGTTGTGAATTGTACCGGGTAACACCAAACTTTCCGCAACCCACTGACAGCTGGCACTCCCACTTCTAAGGAGATATAGAGGTATAAGACTACAAAACACACTAAAACTGGACATTTTCATAAAGGCCTAAATGGAAAATACAGAAGTCACTAGATATTATGCACAGGAGGTGAATGGACAATTCCCTTCATAATCCACATTTTCCAGCTATTCTCTTAAGAAATTCTTTAATTTCACCAAAACTACCTCTGATATTGTTTTCCTCCAAAATCTGCAGGTGTTTCTCTCTAATTTTTTTGGCATGTTCCACAGACAGGTTGTAGATCTTTGTGCAGATGCCTTCCACACTCTGCTTGGCTGCCTCAGTGAGATGAGGTTGACATTGTCTCTGGAAAATAAGGAAATTTGAGTATTGTTTTCTAACCAAGAATTAAAACATAAATGGTGTAAGCAACCCACACAAATATTTGGAGAGATCAGTGGTTTTAAACATGCTCCCTGGTCAAATTGACATGGCTCAAGCAATCTGAATGAGGATGTGTGTACTTTGTAAATTTATCAATGTGTTTCCATAGAACACCAAGTTCCACTTTCTGTTTCGCCTGAAAATATCTGCTTCTCCCAAATTCCAATATCATTTTGTTAAACGAACACACAGGTTCTGTCAAACAACATATCTATATACAGGTGTTTATCTAGTAAAAGATCAAGATCCATAACACAGTAACTAGGAATCATTTTGCACAATCAGTTAATACATATGGATTTTTTATCCTGCCCCATATATCTGAACTCCTATTCAAAAAATCATACCTAGGGCAATATTCACAATATGTCAACAACTGTCCTTAATGACTTCATCTAAGATTCAGGCTGTTGCCACATCTCAGAGTTAATGCTCTAACTAGTTCTAATATTCATATCATTATATTCTTTGACTTGGGAGTTGGACAGGAGTTTACATTCATTCAGATGCTTTGTTTCTATTGTGTGTTGAGAAGCCCTTTCTCTGCTGCTCTCTGAACAGAGAACACAAGGAATAAAGATGTCAAAGCCAGGCAAAGTCTGAGTATATCTCTATAAAATTCCAGGTTTTTGTTTAGCATGACTGCTTAAAGTCAGCTTTTCTACTCTAACCATACATGTAAATGTATCAAAATCAGATGCAAATAGAACAGTTTTTCACATCTTCAACCAAATTTCCTTTACTTCCTTGTGATGCAGTACACAATTAATTTAGTTTTCCCAATTTCAAGTCAAGGAAACCTCAGGAGTTGGGAGGTATAGCTGGGTTCAAACACTGGCAAGAGATATATTTACAAATGCAGAATAGGGAGGAAAAAGCTTCCTCTGGGTTCACTGCTTACCTTGAGATGTGCCAGTCTTTCCATGTAGTCATCAAAAGTGGCACCAATTGTTCTCCGCAACCATTGAAAAGTGTCTTCCACATTCCATTTAACAATTTTTCTGCTTTCTTGACTTGCATTCCGGCTAAAGGGGATTAGATAACAGATATTGGTATTTTGTACACATGAAGGAATTTACAGTCAAGTGAAAAACATTCTAAAACAGCTTACTTGAAAAAAAATAATCCATATTTTCATAATTCAGCTGGACAATGACTCACCTCGTCTCGATCATTCTTTTCGCTGCTTCTGCATATTTAGAGAGCTGTTTTCTGGCTTCACCTGTGTACTTTGGCCGCTGCAGTTTAATTGGGATGTCATTCATGATTTCTCTATACATGGACTGGCTAACTTCAGGAAAACACTGACTGGGAAGGAGTGGATCCCATCCTTGATCAACTACCTTCCGTTCCATCAACCACCGACTAAAGGAATCTCTTGGCGCATCAATGCCTGTTAGAAACATGGAAACATTCAGCTAATATAGCACAAGCTTGCAATAAAGTAATGCTTCTCTTAAAAGTATATAAAAAAAATAATTCCTATAAACTTCATCATATCACATTTCAACAAAGAAATATTCATAGTTAAACAAAAAAGACTCATAACACACATCCTGTAAAAACATATTAAATTCTATACAACTGAAACTCATCCCACATGCTCTTCACACCTTTACCATAATGTCCACAACTTATACCTTGTCTCGCCAGACACATTTCCTGGTATCCTGAGCGTAACTTTGACACTAGCTGTCCCCGCAGAACTTCTACACTGGGATGCGGTTGTGGCAAGGTGATTGGCGGACGCTCAAACATGATGACGTTGGTTGGAATTTCTAAATCCCATGGGCCTCTGTAAGCAATGTTGTGCATGTTAGCAACTGGAGATGAGAATTCACTTTGTTGGAAATTAAATAATTCCATATTTTGCAGAAGCATAGAGAGTAAGACAATTTTATGTTTTTCATGCTTTTGATTTTTCCCTCAAACAGCTAAGTCCACACCTCCATGGCAGCCTGAAAGTTTTGTCTGATTTAGCACATAGGGATCCCATCACAATCAGGATTAACTATTTTACATTTTGATAGGTCTTTTTATGTGAATGTAGTTTTTCCTAATGAAAAACAATTACTCATGTCCATAACCTATTGCTCCCTTCTGCCTATGATGATATAATACATGAATTAATGGGATTTGCTAATCATAACCACAATAATCATCCCAAGAAGCAAATTCAGATCATAGCAACTACAGACAATGGATCACCACTCACGCCAAAACAAATTTCTTAGGTACAGGAGCTCCAGAAGCCTCCTCAGATGCTCGGCGCTTGACTCCTGATATGACTGATGGAGCAGGCGAGGGGACTGGGGCCGTAGTGCTGCTTCCCGGATGGCTGCTGCTGTTGGTTGCTGTACTGCCACTAGAAAGAGAGAACAGAATGAGATGAAACATTGGATAATGGAGAAGGAGGGAGGGAAAGAAATGTGTATATATATATGCTTCAGCTGCCCCAAGAAGTTGTGGGGTATATCAAAATCACTGAGAAAATAAGTAAGGAAATCAATTCATTTACACCAATATTGATATACTTATATCACCAAAGTTACTTGACTTACTAAACTCCATTCAAAAACTAACACCATTTGAGTGAATGAGAAATAAGAAAAAAAAATTATATGAAGACTAGCATCAATATAATTAATATTAACAAATGTGCAAATCTTTCTGATCTGATGTCATATATGAATAAAATTCTGTAATGTCCATCATCTCCATTAGCAAAAATGTATGTACTAAGCTTCTCCTCGATTTTGTAAGCACATCTACCTGCATGTGTGCATATGCATCTGTAATTTGATCCTACCTCTGACAGTTGTTGGCACTGGAACTGCTTCCATTGGTAGGATTTTGTATCCCTAGTGGATCACTTATAGGATCATACTGTTGCTGCTGAGGTGGAGGATGCTGCTGGTGAGATACAAATATCAAGTTAGAATATTTGTTTAAGTGATACATTTTCAGTCTCTTAAAACACTTCAACACACATAGAGAGGTTTTTCAGTACCTCTGTGTAATAACTTAGAACTTTCTGCTAAACATTCTGCTACTTTCACAGATTTTATTAGAGATGCATGAATTGTACCAGTATCAGTAGAGGTATCAGTACTATCAGCTACTTCTCTTTAGTATTTGTAAGGATGTCATTAAGGTGAAAAATGACCATACTACAATTAATTTCTATTTCATTTTCCATATGACTAAAATAAACAAATTTAGGTTTCAGGATTAGAATCAACAGTTCACTATATTCTAAGACATATATAACACAAATACTGTTCTCAGCTCAGAAATCTTTGCATGGGAAGTTGCACTGCCTGGCTGTTGATTCCTGGATTTTTTGGGAGAGCCTTACTTCACACTGAGATTAATTATGTGCACTATCTATGACTGTTCTTAGATATCAAAGATATATTTTCATAAAAATACACACAACTTTTGATTGACATTTTTGGCACTGAGCTACTAACCCCAGATGGTTGTGAAGCATGAGAGGCATGACCTGGTGGCATGTCCCATAGTGACTCCCCCGTGGTGCGATTCCAAAAGTACACGCGCTGTTCCCTCTTGCTCCAGAATTTCCTCCATCCAGCAACCAGCATTTCCTGTGGAAGATCCGTCTCGTGCACAGGGGCAACGAACGGGGGAGGGCCTCCCACAGGAGTCTGCGGAACTGGTGTCGTTGGCCCACTACTCCCAATGGTTACCTGGCATAGAACAGGGATTATTAGATAATGCCAAAGTCAAGAAGAGGATTTTTGAGTTAGTGTTTTCCAGCAATGGACTAATTTCAGCAGTGCTTGCAACAATGCCCCCACACTGCAAAACTGGTAATTAACTATAGGAATACTACATAACCTAAAAATCTTTAGTAGCAGAAGTAAAAATAAAAGTTAAAGAGGCTTTTAACTATACGATTTAATCTCTTACAGCAAAGGTATAATCCGTTTATTTCCAGAAGTAGTTATGACATCTCCACACTTATAAATAATAAAAATATAAGAACTTGGTATAACAACCTATGCCCAAGGAATTCCCTCTGCGACCCACCTGGGAAGGAATGTTGACCCTGATCCCTTGGTGCGGAGGCTGTCCAACGTGTAGGTGTTGTGGCTGTTGCTGATAGTGCGTGACAGGGGGATGGTGTGGGGGTTGGTGGTGGGCAGGGTCTGAGGGGTTATAACTCTGCTGGGGCAACGTGGCTGCTGGAGTGATGATGGGACCCCCGCCGGGTGACGCAGCAGCTGCAGCGGGCGTGGCTGAAACGCTGGTGTGTGCTGGGGCTGCCGAGGTGGAGGCAGCAATGAAGCTCTCCCATGACGACGCCATGACTCCACACCCGCTCTGCACACAGATTTAAGATGGTTTTTGAGTGTGGGTTCAGATGCACAGTGCAATTTTTTTTCCCATAAATCTTTTATGTTACAAGCAATATGAATTACATCC